GAACAAACTTAGCTCAAAGTTAGTTCATAATAGGAATTCATACATATTAGGGGAGAAACAATAGAAAAGCCAAAACATACACGCAAAGCTGACAAAACTAAGATACGGGCCTTTAGAAAAAGAAGTTCAGCTAAATAAAATGTTTACACAATGGCTAGGCGGTGGAGGTGAACGCCTTTTATCCCAGCAATCGGAAGGCAGAGGCAGATGGATCTCTGTGAGTTCGAGGCCAGCCTAGTCCCCAAGGCAAGTGCCAGGACAGACTCCAAAGAAACCCTGTCTCAAAACACCAAAAAAAAAAAAAAAAAAAGGTCTACAAAGTAAGAAAGATGAGATTATAATGTGTGAGAAGGAGTGAAATGTGTAAATTAGTCATGTTATGTGTGTGAAACCACCAAAGACTAAAAAATAAATTAAAATTATACAAATATTTCAAATAAATAAAACCAGAAAAAGATGAAGAGACATTGCAATTGATGAGTCAGAAATAAGACAACAGGAAAATTATGAAAAACTTACTATCAGATTCACAGTCCAAAATTAATCTATGCATTAATACATACATAGTCTGTAAGGACTGCATCAAAGAGAGACAGGAGTCCTTAAGTGAAGCATAAAGAGAGAAGATAAGTAGTCAAAAACATCCCCAAAATTGAGGACTGCAGATCAAATAGTTTCAGTGATAAATTATATCAAATACATGAAAAATTTATATCAATGCATCTTTTGACTCAAAGAATTAAAGAGTAAATAACTAAAAGCTCTCTTTTTCTATTGCCCTAGTTTTCACACACGACAAAGACATTATAAATAATATTAAACTGCATCTTATAATCACTGATGAGTGTTGCAGTAGATACCCTCAGCAAATCATGAGCACACCTAATCCAATAGTACATTAAAAACCACACACATGGCCAACAAGATGACCTGGCTGGAAGGGTCACTTGTGCCCAAGCCTGATGACCTGAGTTACAGCCCCAGAAGCCACATGGTGGACTGAAAGGCCTGACTCTAAAGAGAATCTCTCTCTCTCTCTATCTCTCTCTCTCTCTCTCTCTCTCTCTCTCTCTCTCTCTCTCTCACACACACACACACACACACACAATGTGTGTCATAAAATACATCTGTGGAGTTATTGACCTATTTTCTGATTCCTTGTCGTCTTTAAAATTTGTCTTCAGTCTCCATTTCTAATACCTTTTTATGTCAGTTAAGAATATTTCAATCTGATCCCTCATGGAAGACCTCATCCTCCTGGGGAGCACAAAGACGTTGGGATAGGGGGTCGGTGGGTGGCAGGGGAGGAGAGGGGGGAGAGAGAACTAAGATTGACATGTAAAAGAAGCCTGTTTCTAATTTAAAGAAAAAAAGAATATTTCAATCCAGCTTTAACATAAAAATACCATTTATCTGAGGTCTTTAAAATTTCCAATAATCTTCAATTTAGTGAATACAGCATCCGTTCTTCAATTTAATATTACTGGACAAATTATTTGAGTGTATCATGTGTATGACTGTGCTCTATAATTTGATTTATTCACTTGTAGTTTTAATTTACTAGCTCTGTACATTCTTTCTATGCTGGACTTCAGTACTGACTTCCCTTAAGAGTAAAGTTTTGGGTGGGAGTCTTTTCCTGTCTGCATACATAGACTCTTGGTTTTATCATCTGTCTTCCCAGGTTTAAATTCATTTTTCTTACTTTTATCCCCAAAATTGATGTCTCCACAAAGCTTCTCTCCTTTATTCCACCCCCTCCTGACAACTGACTATTCAGTATTTTAACTTAAATAACCAACATAGATACAAAACTAATGTGTCCAAGGAAAAATCCCTGATATTGACTACAAAATCCAGTCTTGACTGCAATATTTTAAAATTTTTTTTCATATTTTATTTTTATTATATTTGGTATTACTTTTATTTTTTAATGAGTGCACTGATTGATATACTAAAATTTCATGGAGAAAATATTTATATCTTTTATTGATTATCATGTGCATAACACATGAAACATATACAAACATATTGTACACCATAATCTTTTTTGTTTTTTGGGGAAAGGGTTTATCTGGAGAGCCAACCAACAGGCTACATCAGGAGCTGATGGCTCTCAGGATGTCTGGTGATAAAATTATTTCTACTTTTCTGAATTAGTCAACTATTCCAAGTAGATGGAGCAACTGTCATGGTGTATGAGTGTGGAGGGATTAAACTCTCTGTAGTTCCCCAGTGGCAACCATTTTAAAGCAACCACAGTGAAGTTCCTCAGATATGCCACCACTGACATGTAGAGAGTTGAGGTTAACATCTGATAAGACATTACTAGGGATAAGTGGCCTGCGCCATATAATGCCAGGACCAAAGTGCTCTCTATCCAGAGCCTGGCAGGAAAACCCAACATTGATAGTTCTTTGAACACATGTACTGCTGACCTTTGAAAAATAAACTAAGAGCTTTAAAAATATTCACAAGAAACCTACTCAAAATCAGTCTCAGGCAAAGAGCCCTAACCCAAGCTGCCTAGCCTCTCTTGTGTACAGTTTAATTTTAATTTTATTTTCCTTAGATGGTATGTTCTTCCCTTGATGTGTGTATAGAACTGAGTATCTTGACCTGTAGTGTTATTTTCTTTAATTAAAAAAAATATGACTAATTGAACCCTTACAACAAATACATTTGATTGTATCATTTTTAAAAATGGACAAATTATTAAGACTTATCATGTGTGTTTGATTATACTCTTTAATATAATTTATTAACTTTTAGTCATAATTTCATAGTTTTATGTATTCTTATGCTGGACTCTTAGTATTTACTTCCTTTAGGAGTCAACACTTTGATGTTTTTATCTGTCTCTATAATAATTTCTTGATTTTTCTCATCAATTTCAGCAAATGTCAATATGTTTGTCTTACTTTTCTCTCCCGAAATTATATCTATCTAAAGCTATCTCCTTAATTCCATTCCCCCACTTCCAACTTCCAAATCAATACATTAATTTGAATATAGAATATACATCCAAAAATGTATCCCAGGTAAAATCCCTAATATTTATTACAAGATTCAATTTTAACTTAAGTGTTTTTTAAATTACTTGTTTTTATATTTCATTATTTAAAACAGTTTTAAATTTAAACATATTTAGATCATATCCTTCTCCTTATCCACTCTCCTTCCATGCCTTCTCCCTTCCCTATCCACTTCCTTTTTCTGCATTTATTTATTTATTTATGTATTATGAATTTTTATTTAAATTAAAAACAATCTTATTTTACATACCAATCCAAGTAACCTCTCCCTTCCGTTCTGCCAGGCACCCCACCCACCCCCATTCTACACCCTATCTAATGCCCAGGGATGGTGAGACCTTCCATGGGGGATCATCAAAGTCTATCACATCATTTGAGGAAGGGCCTAGGCCCTCCCCCATGTCTCTAGGAGGAGAGAGTACACCTCCATAGGGAATGGGCTCCCAAAGCCGATTCGTGTACTAGGGATAAATACTGGTTCCACTGCCAGAGGCTCCATAGATTTCCCAGGCCTCCCAACTGTCACTCACATTAAGGGGCCTGGTTCAGTCTTATGCTGGTTGTCCAGCTGTCTGACTGAGATCCACCAGCTCCCCCTTGTTCAGGTCAGCTGTTTCTCTGGGTTTCCCCAGCCTGGTCTTAACCTTTTGCTCATCATTCCTCCCTCTCTACAACTGGTTTCCAGGAATTCAGCTCAGTGCTTAGCTGTGGATCTCTGCTTTTGCTTCCATCAGCTACTGAGTGAAGACTCTAGGATGGCATTTAAGCTAGTCATCATACCATTATCGGGGAAGGGCATTTAAGGTAGCCTCTCCACAATTGCTTAGATTCTTAGTTGGGGTCATCCTTATGGATACCTGGACATTTCTCTAGTGTCAGATTTCTCTTTAAACCTATAATGCATCCCTCTATTGAGGTATCTTTTTCTTGCTCTCCTCCATTCTTCTGAAGACTCCATCTTCCTGATCCCTCATGTTCTCCTCCCCCTTCCCTTCTTTCCTTCTCTTTTTTTCTCCCTCCCTCCACCCTTCCCCCATGCTCCTAATTTGCTGAGCAGATCTTGTCTCCTGCCACTTCTCCAGGGGACCATGTATGTATCTCTTAAGGTCCTCCTTGTTTCTTAGCTTCTCTGGGATTGTGGATTATAAACTGACAAGTCAAATCCAAGAACACATAAGAAAAATCATCCACCGTGATCAAGTAGGCTTCATCCCAGGGATGTAGGGATGGCTCAACATATGAAAATCTGTCAGTGTAATCCACAATATAAGCAAACTGAAAAAGAAAAACTACATGATCATCTAACAAGATGCTGAAAAGGCCTTTGACAAAATGCATCACCACTTCCTGAGAAAGGTCTTGGAGAGATCAGGGATAATAGGAACATAATTAAACATAATAAAGACAATATACAGCAACCCAACAGCCAGTATCAAACTAAATGGAGAGAAACTCAATGTGGTTCCTCTAAAACCAGGAACAACACAATATTGTCCAATCTCTACATGTCCCTTCAATATTGTACTTGAAGTTCTAGCTAGAGCAATAAGAATACAAAACAAGATCAAGGGGGATACAAATTGGAAAGGAAGAAGTCAAACATTCAGTATTTGCAGATGATACGATAGTTTACATAAGTGACCCAAAATACTCCACCAGGGAACCCATACAGCTGATAAACACCTTCAGCAAAGTGGCAGGATACAAGATTAACTCAAAAAATCAGTAGCCCTACTATATACAGAAGGTAAATGGACTGAGAAAGAAATCAGAGAAATATTACCCTTATAATAGCCACAAACAACATAAAATATTTTGGGGTAACCCTAAACAAACAAGTGAAAGATGTGTATGACAAGAACTTTAAGTCTTTAAAGAAAGAAATTAAAGAAGATATCAGAAAATGGAAAGATCTCCTATGCTCTTGGATAGGTAAGATTAAAGTAGTAAAAATGGCAATCTTACCAAATGCAATCAAATGATTCAATGCAATCCCCATCAAAATCCCAGCACAATTCTTCAAAGACCTTGAAAGAATAATATTCAACTTTATATGGGCAAGCAAAAGACTCAGGATAGCCAAAACAATACTATGCAATAAAGGAACTTCTGCAGGCATCACCATCCCTGAATTGAAGCTCTACTATAAAGCTATAGTAATGAAAACAGTTAGGTGTTGATACTAAAACAGACAGGTATACCAATGGAATCAAACTGAAGATCTTGATATTAATCCACACACTTTAAGTACTTTCTAAGAAAAAATAAAACAAACCACAAAGACCCCAAATAACAACCTCACCTGAAAACAAAGAAATAAAAAATTGCAACACACACAAACACACAAAACAAAACTATAAGCCCATAAATGCACACACACAAAAAAACCCCAAACCTGTAGAGTCCATTGCATGTTGGTCAAATGCTCCTTAATATGAGGCCTGTCCTAGAGTGTTTAATATATTCAGTGTCAGTGAATTGGAGAAAAATGATTTTCCCTCTTCTAGCAGGTGTAAGTGACAGTATAGTTGTTAAGCTTTATCGAGAGTTTCAGTTTTCATCAACTAATTAATTAATTGATTTTAAAAATATAACAAAATAAAATACAAGATAAAAAACTATCACATCAAAATGTGTCAAAGCAAACAACAGAAGAGCCCAAGAGAAGGCACAAGAGTTGGAGACCTACTTGGCTGCACACTAAAACTCTCAACTAGAAGCCACAATGTGTTTGTGGAGGACCTGGAGCAGACCCAACTAGCCCGGTGTATGTTTTCATCTCTGTGAGTTCATATGAGCTTTGCTCATGTTGGTTTAGAGGACCTGGATTTCTTAGTGTCCTCTGTCCTCTCTGGCCCTATACTCCTGCCTCCTCTTCTGTGGTGTTTGATGGAAACATCCCATTTAGGGCTATGTAATGACTGAACCCAGAAGCCCTCTGTATAGCCTGCCTTTTCTAGGGATTTCATATATGCCTCCTCTTCTGGGATTAGCAGTGAACATCCACAAGTACCTAGATTATATGTGGCTTCTAGGGATCTATATTGGTCCTCATGATTATACACCAAGGCCGTTAACTATGAGCCACCTCTCTAGCCTCTTAACTTATGACATCTGTTGCCTTGGGACTCTTCATTATGTAAAGTCAAAGTGAATTGAACCTATCAAAGCCTAAGTTATATCTTGTTAAATTTCAAGTCAACATTCCTCCTTCCATTTTCAGTTTCTCTAGTCTCTGTCCAATTAGGACAAAGCTCAAGACCTTTAGAAGAGCTTACATGATCTGCTTTGATAAGGTCTCTCATTAAAATCTCCAGCTGTATGCTGTGCACGTCAGTCCATAACTATTGAATCTATGACTGTCACATGAGATATATTTCTGTTATTGCACCATATTTTCAGGTATAGGAGAAGATATCTCTTTAAAATCTTTTGATTATCTCCATGTTACTTAAATATTTGCTTAATTATTGTGTCCCTGAAATTCTTGAGCTATAAACCTACAGAGAGTCACATTCTAGCCCCTCTCCTAAGAAATTGTCATCCTCTAAGTATTTTTGTGCTCATGATAATTGATCACTAATTTGACTTACTATGTACAAAGAGAGTACTTTCTAAGTGATAATAAATCTTTGAAACATGCTAAGCTTTGCTTCATACCACAGTATGTGGTCAATTTTTATAAATGTTCTTTCATGCTTGGAGTAAATTCTTCTGTTCTTGACTATCATGTGCATTTATTCACTACACCAAATTAGTTAATTGCATGATTAAAGTCTTTTGTATTCTAAGTGATTTTCTCTGCCTAATTTACCAATTACCAAGAGAAGCATTTTAAATTTTCCCCGATTAACCATTTGATTTGACTTTGTTTCCTACAGATCTGTAAGTATTTTGAATTTTCTTGTAGGTGCATATAAGTTGTTAGTCTTTACATCATTTCTTTTACTGAAATTCTATCCTTGTATACAGACCCTTATCTTTAGTAGTTTATGGGGTCAGAAGTCTGTCTAAGAATTATCTGGGACTTCTATTAATCATCTCACAGCATTGCAATCAATAAAAATGTTATGTCTCTTTTCTGTAGCTCAATCTACCCCTGCATAGTCATTCAGCTGTTCACTGGAGCAAGTTCTCAATGTTGTAACCCTAAACTATTTGCATTTATTTTAATATTTTGTCTGATTTTCTTTTAGATAAGTATACAGGAACGCCAGACACCTTTACAAAAGAGTGTTATTTAATATGAACTTAGTTAAATACTCTATACTAGAGACATTTCTTTTTAAGTGCTATGTAATAAATAGTCATATATGTCTTGTAGTGATAGCAAAATATATTGCATATAATACTTCAATTGTTTTAATAATGATAAATCAATCTTGAATATTGGAAAAAAAGTTAAACTCTTTAGAATTATTAAAACTTTGCATTTTTTTATTTTTCAAGACAGGGTTTCTCTGTGTAGCTTTGGAGCCTATCCTGGCACTCACTCTGGAGACCAGGCTGGCCTCAAACTCACAGAGATCCCCCTGACACTGACTCCAGAGTTCTGGGATTAAAGGCGCGTGCCACCAACACCCAGCAAAACATTCCAAATTTTAATAACACAAGTTATCATGCTAAGAAGATTCTACAAAAATATTGTAATGGCTATTCCATACTTCAAATAAACTAGGTTGTTGAAAGAACACCATTTTTCATATATGTGTGTGTTTGTTTGTTTGTATGTCTGTGCATTAATATAATGAAATAAGAAAATGCTACAGGTCCAGGAAGAAAGAGCAGAACAAGGCAATCTAGCAATTTTCAAATAATAAAGAGAAACAAAGAAGAAAAAGAAGAAACAGCATTTTATAAAGTATCAATAGAAATAAACAGTGGGAAATTACCAATATGGAGTCAGGTAGAAATACAAGGGTATTTAATAGGGAAAAGCCTTACTTACAGAGCGACCTAGCCAGCCGGTGTGGTAGCAGTCTGTACAGCAAGTACCAAAGTGAAACCGAAAGTGAAAAAGCAGTCACACTACGTCACTCTGACCACGCCCTCACAAGCATGGTCAGGCACACCTGTAGCCAGCCCCTAAGTAGGTGTGGCTACAGCTTCCCCTACAGAAATAAAAATAATCACCATCATGACAATTCACACTGGGCTTAAAATACACTTTAAAAAAAATGTGCTACTCCATATACTTGATGATAACACAGAAATTTGGAATTGTGAAAAGCATAATGATTAATCTGGAGATTTCTCATTTTGAAATATATAAAACTAATTAATTCAGCCAAATGCCATTTTCTCCTGATTTTTCTTTTAGTAAGTATAGTTAATAGTATTAGAAGCTTTAATCAAGGTGTTTGTGATGTACCAGGTCTTCGTGTCCCTGTGTAATCTCCATTTTAGTATGAGGAAGTCTCATAAACAATCTTAAGTGACCAACACTTGATAGAAATGGTAAGATACCAATTATAAAATGCATTCATGAAATAATGGAAGGATTTATAATTTCTCCTTCCACTTCATTCTTTCTTCATTACTTTTCTTCTTCCCTTTTCCCCTCTGTTTTTCTCCATTTTCATATGAAGTAGAAGTAAACTGAATACATCTACAGGATAACAATTCATGTTTTTAGCCAGGGGACACAAACCATAGTGGCAGGTAGATCTGCCCCCATTTCACAGAGTCTTCAACTTTCACACTCTGGAATGTGTAATGGCTCTCTTGTGTAAGAGCTAAAGTTAGAAACAACCAGTCAGTCTGTACTTAAGATCCTGCACCACAAAAACAAGAAACTTATCTTTAGTTTTAAAATTTCAGATTTTGAAGTAATTTTTATTCAAAATTAGAAGGGTAATATAAAATGTGTATTGGAATGATATACTCTGGATTCAGATATGTAGAGAAATGTAGAGGTACAATGATAATTCGAATGTCAAAAAATATAAAAATTCCATGGTGTTTTTTTTCTGCAATTTCAAGATCAACACCTTCACAAACATTTTCTAAATGCACTAATTCGGTATGAAAGTCACTAAAAGTTTTATCAGGAAATCAACTTTCATTCAGTTCCTCCTTTTTTATAGATACTTAACAAATAATGCAATTCAGGCTTATTGATTTGAAGAGTTTAGAGTTAACAGCTGTGTGTTAACTGGTGTTATACTTACATGTAATGTAAGGGGCAAGGAAAAGCACAGAATAAAGAACAAGCATCAGAAGAGAACTGAACTGCACAGAGGAAAATGCATTATTACAATGATGAAAACAATGTGGTAATTAGCTCATCACTTAAATTATTTACAATTTTTGGGATACCTTTGGAAGAGACTTTTCCATCTCCTCTTCTATGATGTTTCTAAGATTGACATATTTGCACTGTAGATATCCCCTGGAGTTGAGCATTCTCTGGTCCCTTATTTTCTGCATTTTAACCAGATGTAGACCTCTGTAATAGTCTTCATCTGCTACAAAAAGTAGCTTCTTTGTTGAAGGGAAAGAACTATAGTTAGTGACCTGTGGTCAAGATAAATATTTGCAATGCATTTCAAAAAGCAAAGTAACCAGAATGTGTTCTTTTTTAGTTTTAATTTCATTAGTACATGTTTTCTAAAAACCAATTGTCTGGGCAGACCAACCCTTTGACTTTTGTTTGCTTACCTTATTATTTTCTGCTTTTATTTACACTATTTGCTCCCCTTGTTGGATTGTTAGACTTATCCTTTCTTAGTAACATTTTTCAGCTTTTGTTCTTATCTACTCTAAATATTGAATGCTATAATTCCCCAGATACAGCTTTGTTGTTTAGTATTTTTTTCAACGTTTTCTTCATTCAAGTAGTAAGTTCTCAAGATTGCTTCTGTGTTCTCTGATACAAGATAATTGCAGTGAGAAAAAAACATGAAAAATATAGTGTACTTCTAGAGTATTTTTTACACTTTTTTCTAATTTTAATTTTTTCTCAGAAAATGTAAAATTATGTGTTAATAAGTTAGCAGTACAGCGTTTTTTAATTTCTTACTCTGTA